CCTCATGGTGTACCCCCAGTCCTTCATGGTGTACCCCAGTCCTTCATAGTGTGTCCCAGTCCTTCATGGTGTACCCCCAGTCCTGCATGGTGTACCCCTAGTCCTTCATGGTGTACCTCCAGTCCTTCGTGGTCTACCCCAGTCCTTCGTGGTCTACCCCAGTCCTTCGTGGTCTACCCCAGTCCTTCGTGGTCTACCCCAGTCCTTCGTGGTGCACCCCAGTCCTTCATAGTGTGTCCCAGTCCTTCGTGGTCTACCCCAGTCCTTCGTGATATACCCCCAGCCCTTCATGGTGTACCCCCAGTCCTTCATGGTGTACCCCCAGTCCTTCATGGTGTACCTCCAGTCCTTCGTGGTCTACCCCAGTCCTTCGTGGTCTACCCCAGTCCTTCATGGTATGCCCCCAGTCCTTTGTGGTCTACCCCAGTCCTTCGTGGTGTACCCCAGTCCTCCATTGTGTGCCCTACTTTTGAGTCCTCCATTTCTGCTCTTCATCCCTTCCTCCCCAGCTCTGTACCTTACAGTGATCATTATTCCCTTACTTGAGGGACTTAGACGTTTGCATCCCAATTTCTTCACTTTCTCAGATTTATGTCTTCTGTCACCAAAGCACATGCTCCTTCTGAAGGCCAGGTCTGAGCTTAAGCCATCCTATCCCCTTCATCAGCTGGGACAAGACTCACACAGTGTCAGAGTCCATGTGAGATGTGGCATTCTTTCAGTTTCTCTTGGCCATTTTGGGGCGTGACACAAGTTGATGGCAGATCAGACGCTCCGTATTTCTTCTGCCCGTCTTCCAGCCAGCAGTGCTCTGTGGTGGCGTTTCCTGAACGGCGAACGCGCGACGATAAAGACACCTGGCACTGTAGAATGTAAATAGGGAAACTCCAGCAGACCTGGGGAGTCTAGCTGAGTGTGCACCAGACCGTGAGAAAGCCCACCCTCATTTGAAAGCCATGTTCAACTTCCAAATGCAGAATGTGACTTCTGTCTCAAAAGCTAAAATCCCCAGAGAGAACATGGCGTCCTCCCTGGTGAGGCCTCAGGGTCCTGTGGAGCTCT